AATTTCAACCTTTGTTGATTCAGTAAATGGTATTCACGATGAGACTTATTTCAACTCTTGAGAGTCATAAATATCTGTGCTTTCCCACTTGTGCAATAATGTACTGTAGCTGTCACTTCTGGTACTTTGGACGACTCTGCATGCTGTAACTGGAAGAAAGAATTCTCCATCGTTATCTTTGAATATGCATTACTGAGGAATTGCAGTACATGCTGCTGGTTATCCATGCTTTCTTATCAGAATAATACTACACTGACAGCTGGGGTATTGTAATCTCCTTAAAACTTCTCGATTAATACTCTTTCTTACCCCGAGAACCAATCATACTAACAAGGAATAATACTGTCAGTCTCTCTTTGGAAATCTTACTACCGTTAGAACCTTTGCTCTTAACATCAAAACGATTGTTGGCACTAACATGGAAGAAAAATCCTAATTCATTCATGTCATAAAGATCATTAACTAAATAGTCCCTGCACGAACAAACAAATTGCTTAACATCACCACTTGCACTACTAATGGTACCAAAAACAAAGCCTCTTATGGAAAGATTAACTACCCACTAGATGCCTTGAAGTCCTAAGCAAATCTGAATGCCTTTTCTTTCAGAACTGGTCCAGTCACAGTAATGGTCCTCCCTGATGCCTCTCTGAACCACCCCCATAACAGTCTGTTCACATTTTAATTACCAGTATTTTGAATATTTCTATTTCTGTTACTTGGCACATTCCTTTAGCGTGATTTAAGGACTTTAGTGTTTACTCACATTTGTATAACATATCAGTTTTAGTTAGTGCAGACAGTTGTGTATATATAATGATATGCTATTGTTGTCCTATTCAAATGGCCACCTGCTACCACAAACACACAAGCAAATTTCATGAGAGACTCATTGAGGTCTTGTCTTTGTATTGAATTCAGACTGCTAGCACAATTCTCAACCAGTGGCCTTAACATCTAAGTGACCTAAGATGTTAAAAAAGTTCTTCATTCACTTTAAAATGTTATACAGCTTCAGCAGTGCTAATTACAAGGTGATTTGTGGCACTTCTGCTTCCACTACTATGAACAGCCAAATGTTCATCATTGCAGACGAGCATCATTGGTATGTTAGCGCTTGGACAAATGTCTGTTTGAGCAACTACAACTGTCTTCTTAAAAGAAACAGTGTTTAGAACATATATACTATCATTACAGCAGAACGCAGCCATTCACCAAATTGCTCCTCTAGCACAACATCATTCATACATTTGGAAGCTCACAACCATCTTCTCATGTGTGCTGTTCATAGTTCACGGGCCTAACCTGATCAACACTAGATGGTACTTCAGGTCTTTACAAGGTCTAAACTGCAGCATAACTCATTGATGATTGTGTCCCAGTTCAAGCTACTCTTCAACCAATTATTCTAAGGTATTTTCTACTGAGCCGACCAAGTTCAGCATCAGGCATTACCTTACCTATCTCTGGGTTTTACCATTCCAGAAAATAACCTGCTTGAAACATATGATGAATTATTCAGACCTTCCTTTGCCACCCTTTTAAAAACTCACAGGTTAATCTTACTTCACTTCATCACCACTGTGAAATAGCCATACGGCCAAGAACATGATGCTAGCATGTATGGTGATGTATGGCTGAGACACCATCTGTGTTGTAGGGATGACCCCTTGATTTTCTGAAGACTGAATACATGTACATCTAGACATATGTGATCTCTTCAGGCGAGGTCTTAGTTGCCACGTGTGGTCTTAGATATTATTGGTGTACCTTGCCAACCTGGGAGGCAAGGTACAGCCTAAGGCATCAGGAGGATTGTAGTGAGATTCTGGCTGTTCTATCTGGCAGTGTCACTGATATTATTTGTGGGTGTTATAGCTATTACTGGTAGATTTCCTCTAGAATACACATTTTACTTCTTTTCCTGGTAATAGGGACCCTGATCAGCAGCTGGTGATGTTTGGGCTAATCAGTTATCATGTAGTGGCATCGAGTCTGGATATCCAGACTGATAATCTACATCATGACACACCCTTGTCACAGTGTTATACTGTATGTTGGGTTTAACCAGTATAGTTGAATTTAGTGCAGCAGCCAGAATTTTGCTACCTTTCAACCTCTTGGACCCAAAGACGGAACAAGAACCATGGACATAGTTCTCACCATGGCTAACAAAAGCTGTTGGTCAAGGAGAGAACTTCTAGTTACCATTGTTAAAATCTAATATCATGACCTCTTCCAATCTAACAGTAACCACAGAATCAAATAGAATAAACAAGTACGTTCAAAATATAAAACATAGTAACTAACTAACTTAGTCTGTGGTAATCACAAGTAAAGCTAAAATCAACAAGTAAGCGGTACATATTGTAATAACAGGAGGGTCAAAAATATTTATCTTGCAAAGAATAAAAATTAATATGAATAGAAAAAGAAAGATTAGAGCATCTATGTAGAACAAGAAGTAACATCTGTATTCTGCACTTTTGACATGTGCTTCACTTCACTATAATACTGGCCAGCTTCTGTTGTCACGAGTTAATTGGCTGCAGGAGGAAGAACTTATTTTTACCAGACATGAAACTAAAGTATTGTGTTTATGCCACACTGTTCTTAGTGTGGTATCTCATAATCATAATTACCTATATCAGATATCATACTAACTGGCACACCCCACACCCCAGGAAAGCAATCACACAAAAGTATGTCCAAGCTTTTATAGAGGGTTGAGTATGTTATATTAAAGCGATTTTGAATATGCAAGTCAGTAAGTCACGTGACAACCACAGCCGATATAAAGTCGCATTGGAGCAACATGTATCCAAACTATATTTTAAGATTTGGAAATTCGTTGGCAGTATGATGCGATCAAAAGTATATTTGTGGGGGGGAATGGTACATAAGAGCCTTTCTACCACAAAATATTCTTTCACTCATATAATAATGATGTGTTCTGATTGGAAGTTAGGATTTACAAGATGCCATTTGAAAACAAAGGGATATGGATTAAGTTGAGGTTAAAAGTGATATTCATACGACAGAGCCTTTGGCAATGTAAACTACACTACGGGGCTATTGGCAACGTGTACGGTCGTCAGATGGAGTATGACCACATGTGTTCACAATGAGGTGAGGTTCCGAAATCGGTTTAATATAATGTACTCAGCCTCAGTATAAGTTCAAGGAATGGTTAATGTCACCTTAGCCCGAGACAAACAGTGGTGCGGTTTTGTTTACTACTTACATTATGTTTCGGTTTTTAAATGTGCTAATTAGACGCAGTACATACACACAAAAAGTTTTCCAAAGGTACCTGAATATAATTGTTTAAAACACGTTCTAGTCCAGTTATAAACAATGAAGCTTATACTGTTTTTGCTACTAGAATTACACTGAACTGACCAATTGCGTAGGCTATAGAGGACTGAAACTTACTATATTTAAGGCTCAAATTTTAGATTTATTTTAATATTCATTTATAAATTCTAGCTTTTTAAATTGAATTACATAATTTTAGTATTGTTTAAAAAATGATATTTTATCCATTTTGCTTAATAATATATTACATATTTCAAAAAATCAATAAAGCAACACTTGATAACTGTGTTACATATAATTTAGATTACTTGACTTCACAAAAAGTGCGATAAACTATGTATTTATAAATTTTACTGAAATAAAAATATGATTTTGAACAATTTTCTAGGCTAATATGAATCAGTTATACTTTTTGAATAATCTGATAGAGTTTTGTGAATTGCTAATAAGATTATGGGTAAGCCTAACTCAACAGTTGGAAAATATTGGTTTTCCCTCACCGGTATATTTCCCCTCTACATTTTAAGTTCAGTGAGGACATAAAAATATTTATTGACGTAAGACCATTTTCACACATGGATTGATTGAGTTGCACAGTTTTATTGACCTGAAAATGTTTTTGTACAGTTTATGAACAGTTTGTCTTTATTACTAGCTGAAGTTTGTTTTCTTTTCACAAACATAATGATACCGATTGTCGAAAGGAAAGCCATTGATACCAGAGAGATTTGTAATTTATAGATTACAGCTCTATGAAGAAGTGACTCCTTGGGGCATCTGTGAGTTATTTACAAGTTGCAAAGGGTTTAAAACGAAAAATATAGTACAGATACCGTGGCGGAAAGAAACATTGTAGCATAATTTTGTAGCCCCCCTCCCCATAGGAAACTTGACCCATTCTACATGATATCACATCTGCAACAATTGAAATTAAATGGTGCAAAGGAAGGCAGTATATCTATTGAAGATCAATAACATGTCCTATTTTCAGTTAAATACCTCATACATGATTCTAAAAGCTGCTATAATTGAAACACTAATACAAAAAGCTCTCAAAAACGAAACCAGGACTTACCTTTAAATAGTGTTTACTATATCTCTTATAGATAAACAAATTATCAACGAGTTTTTACGTCGCATCCGATTAACATATTCTTTCGCTATTATTAGATGTGAATTTAAATCTGACTACGCGTATTTTCCTATTTATATATCCTTATACAGGACATATTGTCGATAATTAACCTCCATATTTCTGAACACTTTTCAGTATGAAATGTCTCTCTAAAATATTGTTACTTTCTATTCGCAAGTTGATTTTTGTTATTCGAAAACGAAACAAATGTACCTTTTAGTATACAACTTAGCTGTCATGAGGTTTCCTTATTTTAAATCAAATATTATTACAATTCCAATTTGTATTTTCGCTATTTTTTATTTAAATATTGATATAGCAATAATCTAGGTGATCACCAGGATCTATTTAATTTTGACAATTAGTGTTAAATTAAAAACAGGTACTTCACTTATGCTGTTTAAACTGTTGATTAAAATAACTAAGTTACATGTTAAAAAATCATGCTTTATATAAAAAAATATTAAATAATTAAACGCTTTTTGTTTATAATACACATTTCAATGCAAAAACACTTACATGTTACGTGTAAGAAAAATACACACGAATTATCAAATAAAATGTTTAACAACATAGTATTGAAGTAAGTAGTCATTATTATATTCGTAATAGATGTATGAAAAACCTTTCCTATATTTAAGCATACAAACCATTCAACATGAAATAGGATAAACTTGAAATTAATGGATATTTTTTATAATCAACATCTATATATTTTGTATTTTGCGAATTTACGATATCACCTCAAAACATGCTAACCTATTGTTTTTTACCATAAAAATCATTCAGTTTCTCTCATCTTCAATTATATTTCATTAGTTTAATCTGTTGTCATGTTGAAACATGTCTGTAAAGAGATTAACTTTTGAAGTTTGTCTTCCCTATTCTCCAGTCTTTGAATAGAACAGGATTAAAGTATGAGATAAAAATAATTTAAAACTACACTCTTAGCTATTCAAACTACTTTTTATTATTCACGATATTTATGTTCGCTGCTTGCACAAAATAAAAGTATTTGAGCTAATTTGTTTCTAATAAAATAATATTTCTCACTTTTAGATTTATTTTATTCATAGATTTGAAGCCAAGAATCTCTGAGTTCAGGTTTTATATCATAAAGCAAAAAGAGTGAAACACTCCGTGACTAATGAGATCACCACTTAAAGACGAGTATTAAACTAATGATATGATCCCTACAAGAAGAATATTCCATAACTAATGGTATGATTCGTTAAATAAAACTACTTCTTAATAAGCGAGATGAATACTTGGAGTAGAATACTTCTACGATTATGAGATAATCTCTTGAAGAAGAACAGTTTTAACTAATGAGATAATTTCTTTTCATATTTCATCCACTTCCGGTGAGACGACTTTCTTGTGTGGTTCTTCTATACCGCAATCTGATGCTAAGTTCCTCAAGATTTTATCCATCGCGCTGAGTGATGTCTGTAATATTAAAATAAAACACAGCATACAAATATAAAATAATGTACATTTCATGTATTATACGACAATTGTTTGGTTTCAATGTTTTATCAAACAGCTGTTAAACATTGATAAACTTGCATAAAATGTTTAAAATAAACATATTGTGCTTAAGCTATTAATATTAGTTACAGTAAATATTTCTCGACCTAAGGACCTCGATTAAAAGACGTGCAGACTATTAGTAGAGTAAAGAAACATACCAAATGGATTGATACAGATTACAGATTTAGTGGAAACACTAAGTAGATAAATAACTACTGATTCTGAATCGCAATATTAAACCATACTTTCCTACTTACAGAGGCAAAGTGAAGTCCTGAAGAGCTTGTTTCATTGACGAAAAAATAGTTTTCTTGTCTTCACGGTAGGTGTTACCACATAACGACTGCAGTTTGAACAAATACGTGTCAAAGTTATCAGGTGTTGGTTTCTCATTAAAATTGGGCAGTCTAACATGGTCCAAGAGTGAAATAAAGTTGTTCTGGAGTGATTCATAGTATCCAGATAGATTATTCGTCTTTTGAGCGAGTTCTTCGTTTTCCTGGTTAACAAAATAGGAACAAACAAAAATTAAAGTAACATATATACTGGTATAAAATAACAAATCATACATTATGACCACCTGAGAGCTAACGATGCGAACATATTAACGAAATGAGCTTTATATACGTCTTTACGTATGAAAAAAAAAACAGTGTGTTTATTTATCTTATATTCACACTTTACTATTATTTCCTAGCAAAATAATTTGTTGAAGTTATCTACGTTTTTGTGCTAGATTTAGAATTCGGACATGGAAATCGTTAGCCAATAAAACCTAATGTGTTCATACTACAATCTAAACCACCATAAATTGACGAAAACTAGAATTCTAAATCTAGCTCAAAAGCTAGCCAACCACACAAATCTCATTTGCTTTGAAAGAGTAAAACGGTGCGTGTTATAGAGATAAGATCTACATCAAAATATATTTTGATTCATATAATTTATGTTGGAGTAAGAAAGAAACGAGAGCTACTTATGTATCATATGATTAGTAAAAGCTTCCCGGTGCCGAGATGTTAATGTAAAACGACTCTTAGCTTAATAAAACAGATTCCTTAAATAGGTATTCGGCCCTCAATTTGGTGTTGCTGTCAGAAGAAACAGAATAGAAATAATAAGAAAGAAGTGCTATCTCCATGACTAAACAGTGCATGACTGATGGACAGCTCAAGTCAACAAGTGGACCAATAGTGCCAGTGGTGATTGGAGCATGTGACAAACATCGAGAAGTGTCAACAAATCACAACGTACCAGTAGGCAAAGGCTATGTCGGGTACAAGAAAGTGAAGGTACTATGAGACACTGGGTGCAGTATAGAACCAGTTTAGTATCTGATGATAAGTTGATGGGCAAGGTACACCTGTGTGTGCTAATTGATGGGATAGTGAGAAAGTTTCTCATAGCAAGAATACATGTGGACAATTCATACTATGTGGGAGCCCTTGAACTCACGTGTACAAAAGCACCAATCTACGATTTGATGATTGGAAATATACCAGGTAGTAGACGTTTGGAGAAACCAGATAGAAAAAAAGAGTGATGAAGCTTTTGTAAGACATCAAGCCTCTGTAAGTATCTGAAGATTAAAACCCGATTGTAGGTTTATGGGAACTGAATAAAGCACAGAAGAAAGATCCTTCACTGCAGAAACTTTGGGACAGTGCACGGGAGAAAGTATAGCACAAGACAAAGGAGAAAGAGACTTATAAAACAGAGGACCAGAAAGGAATACTGGATCATATCTATCGACGCAGTTATACTGGGGAAGCTAAACACATCAAAGGTAGTCAGAAGAATTTCTGTGACAAGAAGGTCAAGGATGGACTTTTCAAGGTTCGACAGAATGTTTTAGTTCTGCTACTGGCAGACAACAAAAAACTCACCCTGCAGTGGAAAGAACCTTTTGAAATGCAATAAGTGGTCAACAGAATGAACTATTAAGTGAAGGTGGACGGGAAGACCATGATCTATCATGCCAATCTGTTGAAGAGGTACTTTGAGAGGGAAGAAGACTTAACGGGTGCAGCTATTGAGACACAGATGATCGTGCAGGTGTAGCTGTCATAGATACAGAGCCAGAAGACAGTGACTTTGTCATTGAAGATGAAGCCCTACTAGACCTAAGCTAATTAAGTGGAGATGAGATACACAAGGACGTTAACATAATAGCTATGGCACGTTTTGTTACGTAACTTTGTACGAGCCGTATGTTGTGTATATAGTTTAATTGTTGTACTAGGCTATTGTAATATTGTTGAGGTTATCTTACATGAAGCTTCTAAGATTTTCTCGTTATGTGTAACATTTTTTTCACTAGATGGCTAGATATTTCTAGATTTTTCTGTCGCGTGTATAAAAATACAGATACAGAATAAAGTTAAGCTAGTGAAAGTAAAAGTGGAAAAAGTGAAGTTAGATTGTGTGATTGTGCGTTTAGTCATAAAGAGCGTATAGTGGCGATTTCTAAAGTGAGTTTCACTGTCGATATTTCAATAATAGAGATAGAGAAGAATAATTTGTCTCGTCAAAGGGTGTTCTAAAGTAATTGAAGTTGGACTTTGATGAAAAAGAGACAATTATTTAAAGCTATGGATACAACTATGGTCTCTAACAGTTACAGTAGTGATTTTAAAATGAGTATCACAGCCTTGTATTGTAACAACAGATTAGAGGAGAATAATTTGTTTTGTCAAAAGTTGTTCTAAAGTAATTGAACCAACCTGTGTGGACTTTGATGAAAAAGAGACAATTATTTAAATCTCTGGATACAAGTATGATAAACAATAGTGTGACGAATTTTTGTAAATATGTTTGATTTGTTTTGAATATATATTATTTTAAAACAAGTGGATTATGTGCTGTCCGTTTCTTGTTAAAATTCATCATCAACATGTCACAGATACCTACTATAAGTAATCCGGCCCTATAAAAAGCTTACATTAAGTAATAGAGTAACTTACAAAATTTGAAAGTAGGATACTCTGCATGACTTGAAAATAGTTTACCTTGCATTAAATGGGTGAAAAAATGACAATCAGGAACGTAGTATCCAAGCGAATGTTGTACAAAATGAAAAGAATGATAAATAGCCCTTTTTGCTGTAAGTTATTACCAAGTACTCGTTAAATTCATTATTTTAAGTTTTTGTTATAAAATCATTAAATGAATCCGCAAACAAATATTTAAATATTTTATAACTGAAAATTTCAAATACCTTGTTACCTTTATGAAAACATCTTGTATTTTCAGAAAAAGTTTAAAATTTTCTTTTTGTGCATATTATGGAAATGTTCTTCTTAGTATTTTAAAGATATTTGCGGTTATGCCACAAATAATATGGGGCAGCAGTTTTGCTCTAAAATTTTAGAAATATTATGATTTATGAAATTAGGGTTTAGAGTTATTATTTTGATCAACCTAAAAGATTGGTAGTGAAATTTGAACATTATGAGAAGTAAAAAGAGTGTCAGATAACTGATTTATTTAACACTCGTTCTCTAACTTGTAACTTATTAGTTTGTTTGAGCAACAACTACTACTGTTTAATTTGTAACGATTTCTCGATGATGATTATGCAAAACTTACTCGTTCTGTAACTCGAATCTGTTGCTCCATCCGAAAAATGTCTTTTCTTAATTTTACCATCTCCGACTCTACTTTAGCATTGTGTCCTTGCAGATCCAAAATTTCGTCTTCAAGTACTTGGATGTCAGAATCGGTCTCATTTTCTAAAATAATATTCCGATAGAGAAATGTTCAAACCACCATCAGAGAGCGTATCAAATTAATATTCTAGAGAAGTTATATTCCACTTTCCTGTGTTCCCAGAAGCACAATCTCAGAGTAAGAGTAAATAAATAAAAATAAAGTAGACTTGGCAATGAAGGATAGACCATATAAAAAAAAAGTTTTTTATTTCCTTTCATAGCTAGCCATTTCTTAGTTTAATTTGATTTTAAGAACCAAATATATTTGAAAAACTGGGAGATTAAATCAAAATTACCAACATAATTAACAAAATATTTTAATTTACAAATTAAAACAGAAATACAAATAAGCTAATATACATATATATATATACCACACGCACACACATTCACATATATACTAATGTAAATAATTATGTAATCACATGTGATACACATACATAAAATCATAAACACAAAGTAATACTAACTAGATGGTGAATTTACTAATTGTACAAAACAATCAGAGAAAATACAAAACAGAAGTAAATAAGTTGTACAATGCGAATCGTTTGCTTCTCAAAGAACATTACACGTTGTTTTCATGCTTCTGCACAGTTTATTAATGCACGATTGTGAAATTTAGTTCCAAATGTTCGGTATTACTCATCACAACCGAACTAAAATGTTTGCTCTCCTTTTTACCTTAGGTTTTACATAAGCCTATACATTTAAATAATGTCTGTATGAGGGCTTTGTGCACACTAAGTTATGGCAGCAAGTCATCCTTATGGTAAGATATCGTTTCACTATATGTGCTGCATGCTTGAATAATTGTTTTGCTGGAAGATGAATATCCGCTCAATGAGTCGTGTTCCTGATAGAATCGCATGATGGATCAGAATGTGAATGTACTTGTTAGCAGTCAGTTTTGTGTAGATTACCTACTGTACATCTTTAGCTGAGATGCAGCACAAACTTGTACTGATTCCCTACCATGCTTTATTGTATGTGTTATACATTATTATACCTTTACCCCTTCTCTATGAATAAACTGTCATTCATTATTACTACATCATTCAAGCTTGGATTCATTTGTAAAGAGGACTTGTCTACAACTTCTTTCCTTACATTGTTTGTTGTCGGATGTTCATTTCAACCTTTTGGCTTGGTTGCTTTTTCGAGCAGTTTCGCGTCCATCAACAAAACTTCGTGCTTATGTGTATCTTAACGAATTCGATGCAAGATTCATACCGCTATTTACAGCGTGATATATATTCGATTGCCATCTAACAATTAAAATCATACTCTGAGATTCTTATCATCAGTTTTGGAAAGTTTCGGTTTCTGCCTTTACCACTTCTATTGTTAACAATTTCAGGTTCACTTACCTTCTTCTAATTCTTGTATACTACTACTGAAACATTCAGACTTGCCCCAGTTTTTCGGATAGAATATTGTCTATACACACTTGTCATTCAATAATTCAGTCATGGGAGAATTTACTACTGGTCATAGTGAATAATGGCTTTATATTCATGTAGCACTTTCTATTTGGTTGAATCACAACCAAACACAGTCTAAACTATCAACGTGTGACTGTACTCCGGTACAGTTCGTTTTAACACGATATATGGGTGGTCCTGTAATAGTTGCTTTTATACCTCCTTCTTTCAGCGTTTCTATAATCAATTTCAACATTGTTTGTATACAAATAAAAGTTTCAATCAATGAATTGCATCAAAAACTATTACCTCAATATTGTTTAATTCGTATACATATTTATGTTTTATGTTTAAGTATCACTGACCAAAAGGAACACATCTTACCTGATTGTGTTTTAGTCATCAAAGGAAGCGTGTCGTCGTGAGACAACCTTGGTTTTTTCATTATTAGAGTAGCCTTAGGACATCCACTTACACTCCTATGTGTTAGAAAACTTCCACTGGTGTGCCCACTTCCATCGCATCCAGAGGTGGGACATCTGGTGGTATTTAAAAAAAATGCTACTCTACATTTTTTTCATATAACTATATAAAAATTTTTCCAAAACCTTTGAGCACAAGTAAAATACTTTATAGTTACCAATTCCGAATCACTATGTATCATCCATTTGTATATTATATTGATAGTTTGTACTTGATGAAGTTATGGACTATTCTACATCATTTCAAGTACTTTATTGCACTCCTCTATTCTATATCTTATTATACGTACGAAGTCGCACAAGAATTCTATTTCTCAATAGTTTTAACAAAACTTTAAGTTTTAGGTACACTACATTCAATTGAAATAAATAACACAGCCTTACCTTTAAGTGTTTTCTGTTTGCAAATAACGACACAAAGTGATTTTAGTAGATTATAATTTTCTCTAAAATGAATTAAGTATTCAAACATGTTGGATATTTTACGTTTTCAAATAGGTCATTCTTTCACTTATTTAAAACTTCAATATGTTTTAAACAGATATCGTTAATAGCGAGACTAAAGCAAGTATTTAACAACATAAGTTTTACAAAGGCAGATGGTGGACAGTGCTATTATATTTCTCTAGGACTGCATACAGATTTCTTCAACTTGTCTCAATTTAATTTTTGTTTGTAGTTTTCATTTATATACTTAATTGTATTACATGTGTTTTACAAAAGCAGATGGCGTTTCTATAGGCGGATACTGTTATTAACATAATATACAGTAGTATATGATTATGGTTTTCACTTCTATATTCATTTTGGATGACATACCTTTGCACTTTCTGACGTTCTATTTCTAAAATACTTATCGCTAATTCATGAGTTTTCATTTCTATAGTTAATATAACATACTTCTACATTTATTTGCCCCGAAAAAGACGCTTATTTATATCTCTAAATAATATACAATATTTAAAGTTTCGTGTTTAGCTTTATAAGTTGATTATTTCACTAAAGTTTAGTTTTAAACGATCTACGTAAATAACTATGTTTAACCATTTCTACTATTAGAAATTTTCATAATATTGTTAAGAGCGGTGCATTAAACAGTGCAATATATTAATTTATAGCATCATATATATACCTTTTGTCATTTACATACTTAATTTACCCTTTATCATTATTAACAATTGAAACTTGCCATGTGATAAGGATGAAATTTATTTTGTTTTGAAGAATAAACTTACCTGGTTCCTTCTGTTTTAATAACCGCTAGGGTCTCTTGATGATTAACCCTGTTCTTGTTGGCAAAAGGACATCCAGATGCACTAGAATAAACGTATATATATATATATAAACACAAACAACATAAATTGTTGAACAATTTTTTTTTTAATTTTATACTCATTTACTTCACTATTTATAGTTAGTTTTTGTTTGAAGTTAAGCACAAAGCTGCACAATGAGCTATCTATGCTCTGTGCACCACGGGTATCGAAACCCGGTTTTTAGCGCTATAAGTCTGCAGATATACTGCTGTGCCATTGGATGGCTTAAAGCTAGATAGTAGTCGACTGCTATTATCTTAATTTTATTTTCGCTTATTATTGATAAATACCAGTTTATATTTTTAAATAAATCTACCATGCGCTTTTAAGCCACTATATAGTGCTGCGAAAGTTGTGATTTTATCAGTGCCATCTGAAGACAAGTTTTATGAAAAGTTATTTTGTTAAATCTAAAACAAATAATTTATTCAAAAAGATAGACAAGTCATTTCAAAGAAAATAGTACATTGTTTTTGTCAGAGCTACTAAGGCTATCTGCTGCCCCTCTAATGTTGAACTGAAAGAAGGCAGCATCCACCGCCAACACATGGGGCACTCTTTTACCAATTAGTAGTGGGATTGATCGTCACATTATAATGCCCTTAGGGTGGAAAGGGCGAGCATGCTTTGCCCTGAGTTTCGATACCGCAACCAGCAGATTGTGGGTCGAGCGCCATAACCACCGGACCATGCCAGGCCCTGCATTTAAGAATGGTCATGCATTTAAAAAGTTTATGCAACGTGCTGGAGCTCGTATTAACAATATAAAATGTAAAAATGGGTGGTAATTTTCAGATAATAAAAACTGAAGGACGAAGAAATTACTTAAAGGTGTTATACCTGCGGTGGGATTGAAACTTTCCAGTCACGTGACCAGCACCATCACACCCAGGTATTGGACAACTACAATAAACGTTCAGTTATGATTAGTCGAATTATGCCAATAATTAACTACTTTTTACTAAAGTTATTCGTAGTTATGTGACTTACTATAACATATTTTGGTCTCAGACAACGACATTGGAACATATTTATCTGTAATATACCAAAATACTTTAAAATAAAAGTATTTTTTTACATTTATATTTATTCCGAATACATTAATTAAATGTGAGAATGAATATCACATTTCTAGGTATAGTTAATTTGTTCTTCGTCAGACGTAATTAGTTCTAATTTATTACCAGAGATGTTTTTATTTACAAGACAACTTTACTTATTTTCGCTTAGCACAGAATTCTTCGTATATTTTGCGAACAGTTTTTATATTTATTTTTTGTCTGTTAGAATTCAATTCTCATTTTATATAAATATCTCCTTTTTTTCGTATTGACTTATTCCTTTTACTTATTCTTCGTACCGAAGAGGTTCGGAGTCATTTTTGTCTTCCCCTAACCTTACAAGGTTTTTGAGTTTATTAGCACTCGGACACCCGGACAGGCTCCGATGTGAAGAATACTTTCCAGTCAGGTGACCTGAACCATCACATCCAGGAGTGGGACACCTAGGAAATTAAAAAAAAACAAAAGATCTTGTAAAACAAAACCCTGGTGCGCTACCGACCAAGTAAATAGCTAATATGTAAGAAAGTGAAATCATAACAATTGGGTAGAATATTTTTGCAACATTGAGCAATTGTGATGTTAAAAAAATAATATATTCTCATACTTCAGTTGTACTGAAAATTAGAGTTCTACCAAAAGACGAGAATTTACTAAATTATGTATTGTGAACTTATTATTACAAAGTTACAATTCCTTTCCTTTAATGTCGTGTATGTTCATTTTTGCTTTTATTCACGTAAATTATATTTCATGGTGAGCACCAGTATACCACTGAAACAAAAGAAACAAAAATATAATATTTATTTAGGTAATTTTTTGGAACTTATAATGAACTTGTAGTAGATCAATGGTGCTGGTTTGCTTCGAAATGGGCAACATTTGATAATCAATATTTGTTGTATTTGTTGTATTTTACGTATAATTATAAATCACATTAGAATATCAATAAAAACTCACTCAAAATTAAACGTAAAATAAAGCATTATACCACTATTTTATCCTTTCATCAGTTTGAGATTAAGTTTTACTAATCGTTATTATTTTTTGTTTAAGCTCATTAAGTCAGAAATATATGTAAAATGGTTATATTGTATCAATTGTACTTAGAACAAAAACACCTATCTTGCGCTTACTTTATATCCTTTACCGCCTCTTACTGACACGGTAACTGTGTTTATAGATAAGACACTTTATGCTAACAGTCTTAAATATAAAACAAACTTTTACCAAATTACGTAAGGTATAGACCTTAAAGAAGTAGTTAACACATTGTAGCTAAAAAGGCAAGAGAAATAAAGTTATTCTAAATCTGAACAGTTCGAACTAAGAACTACTAAAGTAAAAACTGACTAGAAAATTGCGACATATTGTTCATATAATGGTATATCTCTAATGGTTCCGCTAAGGACGGCATTTTATAACCTTTCTTATGGCAGTAAAATACCTAAAGATGGCCCTGGTTAACACATCTTATCAACCATATAATATCCCCTTTACTCGAAGTGTTTTCTTTATCCTGAGGTTGTGTGCAAGTTGAAATTAGCAAACGTTGTGAACTTAAAACAAAGATGTGAAAATATACATTTAATTTGAACGAAATTATAACACACCTTTTTTATACAACATATGTTTTTCCTGTTGCCTGTATACTTGAAAAATCACACTTTTATTTATGACATCTTAATTAACTTTTAGTTAAAAGGAATTGCACTTACATTAGCTCTTGGTGTTGAATTTGAAGGTGTGTACGGTCAGCGTAAGGACAACCAGAAAGACTAATGGGGAAAAAACTATGCAGTAATAAAACCAGCTAAAATTATTTAGATAAAAAAGTTACACGTAAAACATATAAATATCAACGTTCACTTGAAATACAAAAGTAACATAAAGTTATATGGAGAACACTTTTCCATTGATAACATAATATTTTTAATTTACAAGTTAGAATATGTGAACACATTATTTTACAGCAAAAAATTACAGTTTATTAAATTATTAACTTATCTTAAATTATTTCACAATATGGACGTTAAGACGTATAAATAAATAAATATCAATGATCTTACACACACATACACACAGATGCCGTCCTAGCATACCTCCTATGAGTGACGTAGTTCCCATTAACGTGGCCCATACCGTCGCATCCAGGAGTAGGACACTGAATAAGGGTTTTGTTTTCTCGACATTTGTGAGTAGCTTTCATAATTTTAAGTGGCCGTGAATTGCTAAAACAATAATATCAATAAATCAAATTTACTTATATCTTAAGCAGAGAACAAATTTTAATTGGCGATGGTTAATGTGAGAATGCAGACTCAATATTCTACAAAGACGAACAATAATAATATCATAAGTTTGTCTTGTAAGATTGAAAATAAAGCTATTATATAATTTATATATAATCATAAAAGTCAAAATTGAAACATAAACTAAACCACATTATTTTTATTCTTAAAATTCATTAATTTTAACCATAAATTTATAAAACAGTAAATATAAAACATCCATCTCCAGAATATATTCACAGTTCGATATTTCGACTCACGGCTTCTTCAAAGGCTGAGAATCTTTGGAACAATGAAGATAATCGGAAATCCGATTACCGTAAGACTTTCAAAGCTATGATTTGACACAATAAAGGAATGGTGAGTTCTGTGAGAATATTGAAAATGTTGCGCACAATATGATAAGGGCTTAAGATGAGTTAGGGATGTGTGCGTGTGTTGTACATTATTCATCTCGTACATAAGTAGAAAAATGTGAAGGTGATAAAATAAAGAAATTAGATTTTTGGGGATAACCCACTTTAAAAAAACTATGGTTGTAATTCATTTTCTTGGCAACGTTTCAAGCAAACGCTCTTTTTTAAGCTGGAATGAAGGTTGTCAGTTAATGACAACTACAGAAACGTTTTGAAAGGCTGTTGTATTTAAACAAACACAAGTATAGATTACATGTTTTTGGATCTGTTTGGATACAAAAGATTTGTAAAGTGAGTAGCCCAATAGATGATCAAGTACATATACAATAAGATTTACTTGCCCTAGGTATACAATGACTCGTTATTTCTATAATGTATTAAAATAGCAGTTTAAATATATGTTTAATAATTGTTTTCAGAATTTCAGGCAAAGCTACAACGCTACCTTTACATAGAATGTTCTTATTTTGAACTGATAGATTAGAGGAAGGCAACACTTCAGCTATTCTTGTCAGACCAAAATAAGGAGGCCTAAGAACGAAATACTAGAGTTCTGCTAAACCCAATTTGCAATAATTGTAAAAACTACAACAGGATTTTAATTAAACTAAATTTACGCTTGATCAATGCTCTTAATGGTTTCAAAACCAGATTTTCTAGATTGGTTAGTAGACGTATGAACCATATGTAACCAAAAATATACCTCACTGTTGCAGATCTGTTTGTTGATGTTGGTATTCCAGAGCTAGATGGATGGCTGCTAATGTAGCTTAGGCTTTGTCGAAAGTTGTGCGATGAGGGATTGGGAGAAGTGATGAGAGACTGAGTGGATAATGAAACAGTACATGGAAGTGATGCCTGTGAGCCCCCGAGTCCACTGATGGGTGAAGTCCGTAGTGGCTGAGAGGAGTCGTTAATACTGGAGGAACTAGTGTGTAAGTTAAATATCGCGTCTCTTTGATTCGAAGGTGACTGGGTAAGATTTGTCCATTCTGCTGTTCTGGGAGACAAAGGTTCACTTGATTTTGCTCCTGTATGGATAGTTTCGCATGGAGAATACGATCTAACTGATGACACATCTAATGGCTGTGAAGGTAAAAAACAGTTTCTATGGACTTCTGATGAGCAGTCTACCTTGGTTAAGTTGGGACTTGCAGAAATACAAGGTGTTGAAACTCTTGGAGAGTGAGATTGAAATCGACAACTTTCAGGAGGATTGGATGAAGAAGTTACCACAGATAAACAGGGTTTTGACATATTGTGAGGCGTTGTTACAATAGAAGACCGAAAGGGAAAAGAACAAGCTGTAGGGACTTGTGATGAAAAAGAAACAACGGGTAAGTTGGGACTCGGGGGAACACAAGGGGCTGTTACACATAGTGACTGAGAAGGAAAGATACAATTTGAAGGGGTCTGCGATGAACAAGATACCATATGTAAACTGGGACTTGAAGAGAGGCGAGGTGTTGAAACGCTTCCTTGCTGAAAGGAAAACGAACATCCTTCAGAAACTATCAATGAGCAGGTTACCACAGATAAGTTAGTGTTTGACGAGACACGATGCGTATAAGGTTCACTTTCATTAGCGATCGTCAGGGTATGACCAAGATATTTTCTTGTAGAAGAAGAATTGGTAATTTCCTCTTCAGCATAATTGGAGAAGGGGAAAGCAGAAGGTGAGAAAGTTGTGTGATGAGTGCTTCGAGAAGAATAAGGTGCAATAGAGTCCTGTGAATGAGATGATGGCCGTTCTGTCTGTGAACACGAGGCAGACATAGTCAAAACTCGTATGGGCAAATCTGATTTGGGACTAAAGTCTACTGGTTCTGTTTGCTCCATTACGGAAGAATGATTTGGATAAACTGGGTTTTGGGCAATAAACAATGAAGAAACTTTTTGTGGCTGAAGATGATCTATAGTTGTTGAGGAGCTGGAAGTAAATGATAAATAGTTTAATTGAAGTGCAAGACTTACGAAACGACTAACATGACGTATGTTAAAATGTTATATAACTATAGTGTCATTATCAAACATATTTAGGAGGTACTATTAGCAAACCTATGGATAATAAAAACATCTAGTATTACCCATATATTACTATTTTTGTAATACAAGAGACGCCTTTTAGTATTCTAAAATACTAAACTAAAAACGTCATACTAAATGTAAAAGTGTACTTTTAAAATAATTTATGGAACAAGGACTTTAGATTTCTTTAAAAGTAATTTCTAGTTTGTCGTGTTTTGTTATTTCGCACAATGAGCAATTTTTAGCATTATAAGCCCTCAGACTTACTGCTAAGCTATCGGGGATTATTTTGTTTTAAGTTAGTCTTTTCGTATTTGTTTTTGCTTAGTAGCGAGAAATAAATTTTCTTTTTCGAAATCAGTAACACTATTTTCGCTTATAGACTAGTCTACTGCAAATTCAGAGGTTTTCATTTTCTTAGTTTTATGTTCATGACCTTCATTTCAAATAAATTATTTCAGGTTACACAAGGTTCAATATGTAGCCTACAGCAGTTTTATGAGGATCAACTTTTACAGTATAATATATAGCTTACCAGTGTTGTGGAATTAAAGGTGAACGGGACGTCACGGCCATCTCATATGATTGCTGGGCCGTGGCACTAGGTGGTGCTGGCGAGAGATTCATCACGTTATCTGAACCTTTAGTAGACAAGTTGATGGCCGTTGATACAGCTTCTTCAAGATGGTATTGGGCCCTGTAAGTGTAGTATGTAAACACAATATGTGTTTTCTACCTTCTTGTATTGATATAGAAATGTTTACAGCTACTCTTAATATGTGCAGTTTTCCACATAACACGTGGCAGCCGAGATATGTCATTAAGTTGATCTTTCTTCAAGTTACCTTTGTTTCTTTGTCATTCTCAAAGCTAAGTAGTACCCGATACCACACCCTAAGAGCATTGCTACATGCAGCCTTATGTAAAGTTAGAGCAACGTTCTCTCTTGGTTGTACAGTTAGTACCTAGAAGTTTTAGCCTCGCCTTTTTAGAATGAGAATGTCCAGTCACGTGGTTCTGCAGCCGCGCTAGATAAGTGCAGTGTTTCATTTTAAAAAGATAGCTTTCATTTACTTCGTCTTGATCTGAAGAAAGCCAGTAGAGAAGTAACAGTCACAAGTAAACAAGCACATACAGTGTGTTTTTGTGTTAATTTTTAATAAAAACACTTCTCATTATGTATTACATATCGTGTCCAGTGTGTTTGTTATTCCTTAGCTAAAACATAACGTATAATTCTAGAATTGTTCAGTGATAACCATTTCTGATTTGATTGTCCTATTTAAAGGACTTATCCGATATGGCTCAAAATATTTTCAGTTCAACTGAAATACCTCTAAAACATTGAAGTATACGGATGGCTTCATTTTTTAACACACATGGAGTTATTCAATAACTTATATTGACACAGTGTAAACTCAAAATCAAAAAATGACGAGGTTTCTCGTATGCAACCATAATATGATGAATCATATAATCTCTTGCACAACTTAGGAACAACTTTTACTCCCTGAAGGGTCAGTAAATTTCTATCGCTCTGTTATAAGCTATGGTTGGGATGGGAGATGCGAATTATTCCGTGAGTTAGTTAATGGTGTAACAATCATGCTATGAAAACAAAACAAAACTAGTATTTTTATTGAATATAAATTGAAAATTACGCTTACTCTATAAGAGCAACAACTGATTGTGGTTGACAGCATGCGTGAAGCAGGCATATCGAGGACACTACCCTCACTCAGCTGCCTAGGCGACATTCGACATTTTTTTTTCTTTTTCTCGTTTAATCAACACTGATGTCACAGACGTCACAATGTCTTCGATACATGTTGAGATTATCATCTTACTGACGCCTACTAATCATATAACTGCAAATATTCCTTGGACTAAGTCATTTTTGTAAAGGATAATGTAACGCGTGCACCTCACTTTCCTCCTCCTCCACAATTTGAACATATTTGCCCTGAAGGGGCACATAACGGCGGCCTTCCATGTTTTCTATATAAAGGATAGACCAACTGAATAAAAGTTAAAAACAAAACAAAACAAACTACGAAACCAAAGAAATGAAATTATATACGCAGAAGCACAACGTGGTTTTAAAAAAACGTTATGCAAATTTTTGTCAATCCAAATTAAATGTGTCTTGATTCACTCCTTAGGATGATCAGAGGAACTGTGGTGTTTCATCACATACTATGTAATGTGTCAAGTAACATTAGAATAATGTAAACAAAATTCTGTTATATTTGAACCACCCTATACAGCATGTATTAGTACAACATTTTGACATTGTTCGGCGTTACTTAGGTAGCGTGATGCCATAGAAAACTGATCGCGTTTTTGAAAAATATCCTTGCTCGTATTATAAGGATGTATTCAGATCGATAATTTATAATTTTCGATATGGGGATATCCCTTATATTTAATGACACTGGAAAACAAAGGAAACAGCAGCGAGTCTAGTGAGACGAGAGCAGGACGCTGATTGGTTGGGTGGTGGTCGACAGACGACGTTAATGAAGCAATGAGGGAGCGGCAAGACGCAGCTACCAGAAGCCTATACCGGGAACATTTGTATACAAACCCTTGTAAGGTATATATATATATATATATATATATATACGTACATGCAACTATTTATATATATATATATATTTGTTATTATTATTTTCTTCTTTTATTTGATTTTTTCGCCCATATGGCCCAATTAAAACTATGACCATTCTACGAACTTCTAATCTTTAACCTCGTGCAGGGTGAAGGAGGATTGCTAATCTTCGAACATCCTTGGTGATTAATAGTTTTTTTCTCTAAGCTATTAACTTTAAACCAAAATAACTGCCATAGATCAAAGAACGGTGTCACACTCAACTGAAGAACACTTGTAGTCGAAACGTTGAGAGCGTAATGATCGTGTTATAGCATTAATAATCTCATTGTTACCTTAGTATCCATTTTTCAATATGAATAATAATATAATGGTACTTCACTTATGCGATACTATGCATTATTTTACGAATATTTCATTAAGTTAGTAAAAAATAAAATATCATCGATCTGTCTGAATTTAATTTTAGGAAGTTGCAGATATTAAGACCTGTTCGAGAGTATCAAAATATGAATACATAACGAATACATATTATTTCTTAATAGAACCTTGAAGAAGTTAATATATGATTTATACCTATTACTTGATAAGACCTTTAAAATATTAATACATAAGGAATACCTAATGCTTCATAAAACTTTTAAGATGTTGATTCATGAATTATACCTATTTTGTAATAGAATCTTCAAGGTGTTAATACCTGTGTTATACCTTTACTTAATAAGACCTTTAAAATCGTAAAATTGATATCTTAGATTTTGTATTTATATAAAGGAACAGTTAATAATTGTAAATAGTGTTAAGAAACGTATCACGTAAGAGCATCTAAAATCAGAGAAACCAACGTGAAATGGGATTTGTAGATGGTATCCATCGTTGGTTTTCGAAGAAACTCCCTCAGAAAACAAAGAATGCATTTGAAATAACTATTTTAAAGAACGAGCCAGTTTATTCTCTGAATAGATGTAATGCATTATTCCCTGAAGGACTCTATCTCTATGAAAAAAAAAGTGATGTTACGTGTATTTTCCGGTAGATTATAATTCCTCATAAATCTGAGATGATTTTGTTAGACTTGGGAATGTTTTCTTCCTTTATTTGCAGTTGATTTTGTTTTGTTGTCATCGTGATGAAACTTTTTATCATTATTACAGGTATACTGATGTCAAGCTACCTCAACAAACTCGGTGTTTAAACATATATCCTTACCTAAGAGGAGGATGATTTTTGAAGATAATGTTGGATTTGTCTTCTTCCTCGGGACTTGGTTTCGGTGCGATGGGTCTATTATAATAGACGTACTCCGTACTTGTTTTATTGTTCTTTCCAAGTTCGTTTGGTAAATTTGCTCGTGGACTGGAAGTGGCTACGTATGCGGTGTATATATTCTCCGGAATTTCTAGTTGTTTTACATAACACGTGGGTCTTAGAACGCGATCAGACGTTGATGCTGGAACATGAATATTAAATAAATGTATATATATATATATATATGTGTGCTATATTTATATGTACTTCAGCTTTTCAAATAGTCGGTTATAAATTTTGCCCTTTGTCTGTGACTTCTATAGCACATGTAATATTTTACAAAATCTGTTAAATTTGTTAAAATTAAAGAATGTTTTTAGCATCTAAGTCAAATGTTTGTTTATTTTCATACAGTTCCAAGATATCACGACAGGAGTTGTTTAGTTAAAAAATCAACGAATCAACTGATGCAAAATAGGCTTAAAAGTAATAGAGTTCTTTAATGAAATCAACCTGAAATTATTATCGACTGAAGCATCTGTGAGTATTTCAAGCTTATCAACTACTCACATTCATTTGAAATTTAACTTTAAAATGTCACATATTAAGTATAACTATTTTAATCTTTTGGTTTAGTTTTCTCACCATTAGATAACTATTTCACTTAATTTATAACACGCTAAAGAAACTGATAGCCAAATAATTACAGTTTCGGTTTAAAAATGAAATGAAATTTATCTACTATTTGTAACACTACATTATAGATAATGACTTATCAGACAAGACTTACAAATAATATCCATACAAAACTTAAATTTGAAAGTACAGCAGTATGTAGACAGCCACTCAATTATTTGATTTAGAGATATATTAGAAACAACAAATAGAAAAAAAGCAAGCATATAATAATTTCTTATTGATAGAACATGCATATTCAGAATAATGATACTCATAATATTTGTTTAATAAATTCAAGAAATTGTAATTATCAACCGATGAATAGTTAACGAAGAACAACCTTAATGAAAAAGTGTGTTATCATAGAAATACAACTTTGAAAAGAAAAATAATTCGTCAAATTGGTTCAAATCACATACATGAAGTACTTGATTGTGAGAGCGTTTTGGTTGAAGCTGAATGATATTCTTTATTGACCAGCTTTTCCTTTGCTGCAATTGGACAACCGGAAATACTGTAAAATAAGGGTTAAAACTAAAAAAAGTAATTTAAAAACACCATGGGCACTTGACATACAATATAATATAAAGCTTATTATATTTGCTAATTTCGAAATGAATCCTAAGCTCTACAGATAATCTGGAATAATAAATTTAGTACAAAAAGCATTTATAAAAATATTTTTTTTTTCAATATCGTATACACAGATGTTAAGAACGGTATATTAAAACGATTTTGGAGACTCATCACGTCATTACAGTCCATGTAGCCACGTCTGGTCGTACTCATGCTCTATCTGATCTTGACAGTAGTTCTTCAGCGTAGTTTCCCATCAAAAAGGGATCCGTTCTAGAGCTGTCATGTCCAAAGCACACTATGTTTTCCTATAGGCTTTTCATAGTCTATTTGCGTACGAGGAGGACGGTTTTCTAATGCCCGTTTCAACAGTTCTATCATACTGAAATGCATATCCACTGCTTGCAGCGACTTGACTGATATGTCATTGTACAGAATATGATGAATACCCATTTCATTCAGTTGGTGCTTAAGGAGTGCAGTGGTTGAAAGGACATGTCATGAGAACAAATTGTATATATGTGACTTGTAATGCTCTTCCACAGAGAACTGTCTTTATTATGTTGGGTTCTGTTACTTGGAACATGTAGATGGCTTTTCACCCTAATTTTTGCGTTTGTGGATTCATCCTTACCTGTTATAGCTGTGGTATGATTTGTTGCAGGTCTCTTCGTGGATGGTCTTGGTTCCTCAGGTTGATCCATATTTTTTCTCGTTTTCAATGCCATTTAGTACTTAGGGTATCTCCGCCTTGAAAACTCTAAATTCTTGACTTCAATATATGTTTATGATCTGAATGTTTTGCATCGGAAAGGACTGCTACAGATTCTTTTCAAAAGCACACAATATTTGGTAAAATACATTATACTACCTAAGAAAAGCAAACCAATGTCAAAATGTGGTTCTTTTACACACCATTCCACCGCTACTTTAAGCTGGCTGAGGTTGTCACCTAACTTGCCGATTTGTATATTCAGTATCGTTTTAGTATACCATACTCAATCAGTGGTGTGCCCAAAATTGATGGAAGGGTGGTCTACAAATTTACAGACAACAAATGAAAAATATATTGTTTATTGTTTATTTGTAATTAAGCACAAAACTACACAATGGGCTATCTGTGCTCTGCCCACCACGGGTATCGAAACCCAGATTCTAGCGTTGTAAGTCCGCAGACATATCACTGGGCTACTGGGGGCTGAAAAATATATAAAATATATAATTCCATTTAATAATAGCATCACATCTGTGTCAATCATTACCATTTGTCGACATGTGCAAACGATCATTAATCCTGTTACTAAAATGTCAGTTTATTAGTACGTTTCGACAATAGTCTTCTTGTGAACGATCAAAGTATCTTTACAAAATAAATGAAATATAATTTTCATAAAAACGATTGAAGAAATACGCTAAAATATTTTTGAATTTTCTATATTTTGATCTGAAGACAAAATCATCGACAATGTAGCATAACAATTGTGTTATAGTTACTGAAATCATACTAAACAGTGATATACAGTTTCAACTGGTGAAGTTTTACTTGAAGGTTGATCTTTATTAAGAGAAAAACTGTTTCAAACTCAACAGCGAATCTGAGGAAGAAAGTAGGGACTTTTACGGGTGAGATTTTGCAAAAAAAGTGGGGCTTTGATAAGGGAAGTAAGGTACCTGAAGATACAAGTTTATGACATAAAAATAAAGTAATCTATATTTGTCCAGACTCAGAATCACATGATGATCTAAAAAGTAATTTTAAAAGTATGAAATTTTATCTTAAAATAACTAATTAATAAGGGGAAAGTAGGAGTTACCAGAAAAGTTGTGGAAAATAAGAAATTAACCATGGAAAAGTTGTAAGTAGTACAAATTCAGGCTTAAGTGGCTTGTGTGTAGCGAACTCATTGATGAATTCCTCAGTGTCTACTGCCACTTGACTATGGAATATAGTCTGAAGAAAGACTTTGATCTGCTTTAAACCACTGTGTGGCTTCTTGCTGGAATAACTGGTCATTGGCAGTGTAGGCATGATTGCAAGCAACACTCTCACATATGAGTAGAGTGTGCTGCTGGTATGTAGGAGTGTATCCAGGGTTGACAATAATAGGACTTGTTGTTCTTTCTTAGCGTCATGATTCCATCTCAGTTTATACATCTGTCTCTCATTTTCTACGCTTGCTGGAACAGGGAGGAAATCCTTATATCGACTTCATAGGGTCTTTGTTACGGGCACATATGTCGTCGCGACTCAGAGTGATCAGCACTGATGGTACAATTCTAAGACTGATTAGCGCCTCTCTGTAATGCTCTGTTGATCGCAATTTTCTAAGTAAGTGATCCACAAGTAGCACAGTTATGCATCACCTGTAATAGGTGTTCGACTTATCGCTGTACATTCACACGATTTCACTATCGTCCACAGTGGCGTGGTGTGATAGGATCAATACCCACATTGGCAAATAACTGTTGTACCTCACAAAACTAATTGTTGTGGTATTGATCGACGTTATCTCTAACACCCTGAAATGCAGTAACAATTGTATCAATTTCACCAATGGCCTCCTTGTTATATATTTTGAACGGGCTTGCAGGCTGACAGTCATGGCCAGCAGAAGTCCTTTAGCATCTGTTAGAGAAACTGTTGATCATTCAACTGAGCCAACTGCTTTTATAGCCTCAGATCATGCAAGGGCAGGGTGAAAAGTTGAAACATTTCCAACACACCTAGCTGTTGCACCGACCTCGTTCAGCAAATGACTTTGAGTTTGCTCTTTGAGGTGTTCAGCTCTACATTTTCAATGACATTATCTAGTGCATCTATACTTACGACTCTCATCCTGTTTCGAATGTTGGTGTCTTACAGGTTCGTTGCAACTGCAAGATTAAGCAATCTGATGTGTAATGCACATATAATATGAAAGGTTGAAACACCTTTTCTGCTTTTAGCTATGTTAGCTATATCATTGTAACATGACCACCAGGAGATTTTTAGTTAAACAAGAAGTATCTAGGCACGATCTAGTATTCTCTGCAAGAGCATTACATATGATTTCAGAATGACATTCCAAGAAATCGATCATTTCTCCCCATACACGTCTCTGGTTCTTTGCTATCTTCCCTGACAACAAATTCAAGGTACCTTAGAATAACTCTCAATTGTTTGTTATTCGAAACCTCAGTAGCTTCTTCAGCAATAACAGTACACCAATAGGCAGCACTGACCTGCTCAATAATGGATTCACAAATTTGACCATGGTAATATTTATCAGATCATTCTGTATTTTAGCACTTGTGTAAGTAGTAATTCCAAATGTAGTTTTCCTATGTTCACCTGTGACAGTATCTATACACTTCATTGCAAAATATAGGATAGTCAAAAAAGTTCCATGATTGAGATTAGAATCCTTTTCAACGTCTTTCTTCACCGTCACGGTGAACACGCAAGGGACTATTCTATCAACCAAAGCGTAGAACCACATCAATAATGTCCTTTAGACATTTGGCAGAAGCTCTTGTGGCAAGACCTTGAATCATTGTGAAATTGATCATAGACTGGCTGACGAGGATCCCAAGGTCATTGACATCCGGACCTTTCTCAAACGCCACACAGGTCATACAGTAGTCATCGTTTTGTCTGGCGCAGAAGACGAGTCATTTAAATCTAACAAACTGGTCATATTGGAAGCGTCTCTGTTTTCTGTATTCTTTGCTGCGTGGGAACTTTGAAAGTACTGTTGTGCAGAAGTTTGTATTTTTTCAGCGTCAGATAGGCCTTGCCTAACATTTATATCAGCATAATCTACTACATCTATGCCTATCTGTGCAAAGGATAATTTTGAAAGAAATATTATTGTTTTACAAGAAAATAAAAAATAATAATCAGTAGGCCTTCCAGTAGTCCCATATTTGCTTTGGCTAGATAGCCAACATTTTAATTTACTAAAGATTGTGAATTAGGCCTAATGTGCAGAATTTTATACCAACACTATTTTAGACTAGAACACAAGGCTATGGGGTTTGACAACAACAGGTCAAATAAGCATGCAATGCGTTACGCCTCATAGGGCATATTCAATAGCAAAACCTATACTAGGTCTAGGTCTATACTATAGAACTCGGCTCGTGACAATGCGTAGAATCTAGCCTAGTCTAGATAAAAAGTACTTATGAAATTTAGGCTTTGAACCAAAATATCAGCAAAATATGTAGGACTCGTTTTTTAAAAGCTTTAGTATTAATTTAGTGTGGCCTTAAAATTCGAAAAAAAACATTTAGAAAATAAATCAACATTATTACGGGCCTAAAGGTGCATGTACAGGCCATAAGATTTAAATTTACAGCTTGTTCCTGAATCGTCTTTAGACGTTTTGGTAGATGGCTGTTCTGCAGTAGATGTATCTTGTTCAACAGTAGCCTATCTTGATTCTTTTTAAAAAACGAGCTGAGAAATTCCAGACTGACACATCGCAGATCAATAAAAAGGACATGTGCGGACTGAGGATTATCCTAAACTTGCCTTATTATGTTTACTTAGTAGTTTAATGGGGCAAACGAGCACATATAAAAAAAAGAATTATATACAAAGTAGCCGTGGAACATGTGTAAAAGTCAATTCCTTTGTCTATTACAACTTATATCAATGTCTTCGTGTTTTCTTACCCTAGACCAATAGTTCTCAACCTTTTTGAATCCATGGAACCATTTTGGCTTCATATTTGTGTCACAGAACCCTTCACAGCGTTCAATACAAAAAAAACAACAAACAAACAAACATTATTGCAATACTATATCTATAATTCCAGACAGTATGTATGTTTAATGCAGCTACATACCTATACACATACATCCAAAGCATGAAAAGTTTCTCGAACCAATTACTCGTAACACACGTAACAAGAAGAGTCCTCTTTCAAATAATAACAGTTTATATGACTCAAGCACCTGTTTGTACCTAGTCTTGCTCACTAATTTAAAAAAGTTCAATGACTTATTATGCTGCTTCATTATGAAACCCACTATATTATTAAAGAAATATGATGTAGTCGGATTACAATTATGTGACTAGTGCGTAGTTACGCAATAGAATGTGGGGAAATCTGGCATTCTGTGGAAACTCAATATCTTGCGGAACTCCTGGATGTCTGTCGAAAACCCCAGTTGAGAAGCACTGTCCTAGACTGAAACTTAATCCAGAACAAAAGTAATTTCGCCAAGCTCAGATAGGCTACACATAGGTCTAAATAATTGATATCTAATATAACCGATACGTAAATCTATCTGGCCCGAGGCTGGGTCTGAGGGTACTAGCATAGTTCAGACACAAGTAGAAGATCAGTGCCTGTATTGAATGTAATACATTTGTAATTGTAAACACATAAAATTCCAACAGTTCATAAAATTAGGAAAAATAATAAAGTGATAGCGAGTGGTTCACAGTTTAATGTATGCCGATACCACACATTATATATCAGTGGTTCACAGTTTAATGTATGCCCATATCACACATTATATATCAGTGGTTCACAGTTTAATGTATGCCGATACCACACATTATATATCAGTGGTTCACAGTTTAATGTATGCCCATATCACACATTATATATCAGTGGTTCACAGTTTAATGTATGCCCATACCACATATTATATATCAGTGGTTCACAGTTTAATGTATGCCCATACCACATATTATATATCAGTGGTTCACAGTTTAATGTATGCCGATACCACACATTATATATCAGTGGTTCACAGTTTACTGTATGCCCATACCACACATTATATATCAGTGGTTCACAGTTTAATGTATGTCGATACCACACATTATATATCAGTGGTTCACAGTTTACTGTATGCCCATACCACACATTATATATCAGTGGTTCACAGTTTACTGTATGCCCATACCACGCATTATATATCAGTGGTTCACAGTTTGATGTATGCCTATATCACACATGAATATTAGTGGTTCACAGTTTAAAGCTGCTTATGTCACATATGAATATTAGTTGTTCATAGTTTAATGTATGCCTATACCACACATGAATATTAGTTGTTCACAGTTGAGTGTATGCCTATACCACATATGAATGTTAAAGGTCCTCTCGCTACAGAAGGCGATGGTGCCCTAATCTTTGTTAAGCTAGTATATAATACTTTATGAAACCTTGCTTCTTTTTTCTTCTTTTTTTTGGACACGCCACCGTTAACCCACTATTTACATATTGTGATATAAACCTTGATATGAATTTATTTATAGGAAACAGTATTCTATTGTGATGCTTATAATTTTGCGCCATTCTATACATATGAAAACATACAATTATATAAAGGAGTGATTAGGACACTGGAAATAATTCAATCAGCTCATTCAACTACAGTTGAATGGTTAAATGAAATCTTACCTTGTCACCGAATTGTCTTCATATTGAGAAGCTTCTAAACAACTGCAACTATAATTCTGTATATATTTAGTATAGTTTAAACAAGATATTAAGGAAAAGGTTTCATTTTTTAACCTTCTAAAGTTTTCGGTCATTTACTCTATAATCATTCAATACAAGCTTTTAGTCTCTCAGTAAATAGTGTAGAACTCTCCTACAGTAGCGTCTGTGACTCCTCTATTTTCTTGAGTATAATACACATATGCAACATATGAATTTGTTCTTCTAACCGTTTCTTTCATGATGGTATTGTCAAGGAACCAAAATTTTGAATATATTAATATTGAAATTCTAGTTTATAACAAAGAAAGCTCGTTTTCCTGTTTGTGTGCATCAGCAACATTCCATTTTGGGAGCAGCTATAAAATATCTAAGAAATGTAATTAATTATAGACAAATAATCTTGCATGATCTTACCCACGCAGGAACTAACTCTTTTGAGTGAAAAATATTACTAGGTATTAAATCATAACATCTATAAACAAAAACTTAGAATGAAGACTATCAGCTTTATTAGCTACTGACCTTCGATGAGAGTTTCTATTACTATTCACATGACCTCTTCCATTACAGCCTGGTGTAGGACACCTAGTTAGAACGACACTAAATCATAGAATTACACGTTCTCAGGACACGTTTGTGTCAAATCGCCAGAATTTTAAACACATCCAAACACTCAAAACTATGTAAATTATTTTAGAATCGTAATGAAGGATCGTTAAATAATCTTGCATATTTTAATTAGATTTTAAAAAGTTTTTCTTTTAAAACATAACTTAAGAAGTGTAGTCAGCGTATTAATAGTGTATACTATAAACATATTCTGATTATTCTTATGATTTTGTTGGACAACAATTTAGAACTGCTCTTTGCTGAATCCTTCACTAGGTCAAAGAAGTACATGATTTTGCATGAGAAGATAATCCCCTGCTCTCCAAGTATTACCATGTCCCTTTCCATGCCCCTCAAGTTGGGAACAATAGCATGAAATTAAAAATTGAAAAATTAATTCAGAAAACCGAATAAAATGAACGAAGGATATTGAAGCAGAAAAGGCCGATAACAGCACTGAAAAATAAGGTGATTCATATGTCAAGCCAACGAACACGAGATGAAAAGGAAATAAGTCAGGATCTATAAGAAAACAGTAAGTAAGAAAAATATAAGAAAACTGCATACTAAATAGAAAATCGTGAAGTAATAGAGGTAGAAAACTGCATACTAAATAGAAAATCGTGAAGTAATAGAGGTAGGAGAAAGTAATTTAGCTCCTGGAGAAGAAATCGGTTTAGAGCCTAAAGGAGGACTTAAATAGTGAGCACGTACAAATTTTTGATGAGGGTAGGCTTTCAATAATTACATAAATAAAGCGATTTGTTGGATCCACAAGATGAAGATCAAAGAGGTAAGTTGACAACGAATTTACTTTAGAAATTGTGGAGGCAGCTCATACATGAAGTATAAAAAAAATATTAAAAATGTGATTGAAAGAGAAATATATGCTCAGGCTTCAATGTTCCATCAGAGTTCAATGCCGAGTTAACTGTGATGAAATGTTGACACTTGTGCTTGTATTTTCTTTTATATAACATTTGAGTTATTTTATATTATAATAAATCTACTTACTTGGAAAGATATAAAAGAAACAAGTTTAACTCCGGCTGTGGATAGTGGCCCGCGAAGATAAGGAAATATTCCCTTGGGACGACTATGATTAACAAGAGCAATAAGTGTTTTTACTATGCTACCAGATTATATGTTCTGGTTTTCAGTCTGTTTGACATGTGCAAAATGATTAAATCGGAGTACTTTTGGCTTTTTGAGTAATAGTCTGAGGTTTCTGGGTGTATATTAGAACCATAGTAGCCAGAACTAATCTATGCACAATAATTAGTTTAACAATTTAAGTGACGATGCTTGATAGAATCAGATGCATTGTTCGTTCAGAAAAAACGTCTGATAGACTGAGCTTCATAACTATGAGTATGTAAAAACAAAAAGAGTGTCATTAAGAGTTGAAATACATTACGCAATGAGACGAAAGTAAGAATTAGAATTGTATTCTTACTCCACACTGTACATTAATAAATAGTGTATATAAATAGCTGGATTTTGATACTATATTTGATAAGATATAGCTCTGTTTGTTATGTTTGAATATGTTAAACATACTATAAACAAACTAGAATTAGATTTTACGTGTTAAACACAGTATGGTGCTAGAATGTGGTCTGCACTTAGTTTTACGGATTTCACCAGTGATGAAATTAATGTCTACACGAAGAAGAAAAATCAAATATCAGTCATTAATGCTCCTGGATAGTGGTGAGATATACGGCAATCGAATGTAAGCCAGGCAGACAGTAGGTTGTCAGTGCCATGCTTAATTAGCAAATGTAGAAGCAAAATGTTAATAATTCGCACTTCTTGTTCGCGTTGGCCGTAGTTTTATGTCTGGTTTTGTATTATAGCGATGAACTCAAATAAATTCCATGAATTGTTGGAGACCCAACGATAATTAGAGGAAATTAGTGTATAAAAGACTGTGGTGTTATACGATAAAGGAAAAGTAATGAAAATGTGGAAACGTTCAAAGTTTTGAAAATAACTAAAAAGTGACAAGTTTCCTGTTTTAATCCCGAAAAGAAATGTGAAGTGACTTTACAGAGAGTGTAATAATTAATTTGTACCAATTAAAAATGACCATATAACGATTGATATGTGGCTAGCACACGTCCTGAAACGTAATATGTGGAGATATGTGGTTTGAAATAATCCTAAAGAAAATGGCCACGTAGTAGTAAGTGGCTAAAAAATATTAGATAGTTAAAAATTACTCAGAACTGCTGTCTGTTATAGTCATACGATGCTATAACCAGTTACAGAAAAGGATGTCACACGGACAATTCTTGAAAACTATTAGAAAAACCAAAGAAACAATGTAGACCAGAAAAAGGGTAACCAACAAAATACAAAATAAATAAATTTTAGTCGCCAGAGAGAAAAGAAAAGGTTATTTACTATAGCTCAGCTTTACAGTAAAAGTAATTTTTCCCTGACCTAAAGCAGAATTCAGTATTGAAACCAAAACATTGTCCAACAAGTCAGGAGAACAGTCAGCTATAAAATACAGTTAAAAATGCGTAGTTATGTGTGAAAAAAAATATCCAAATTATATTTCCAGTTTTTAAAATGTGTAGTTATGTGTGAAACAAAATATCCAATATATATTTTCAGTTTTCTAATATATTTCAAATAATGAAACATAACACTAGGTGATAATTTTATATTTACTTTTTAATGAAATGTTATACCATAATATTCTCATTTGTGATTTATTAATTAAATGTTTTTTTTTCAATATATATATTAGTAACAAGTATCTGTTTCTAAACTTATACGCCCCCAGTGGCACAGCGGACTTACAACGCTATAAACTGGGTTTCGATACCTGTGGTGGGCAGAGCACGGATAGCTCTTGTGTAGCTTTGTGCATAATTAAAAAACAAAACAAACTAAATTTATACAGTTTACAGAATCATGCACAGTAAATGTTTCTGAACTTTAACCTAGGATGTGCACACTGTTCAACATATACTAAATCTTTTTTCTACTGTTGTAATAAAGACTGAAATAAGTGGTGATTTTCTTAAACACAACATGTAATAAACATTTCATCGTAACATATTCATGACGCAATGTAAGATTCTAAGGATTCTATCTTACAGTGAAATATAATCAATATGAAAGTAAAATATTTATACTTTATATTATATTTTCTCTATGAAACTTTGGTTCTATTAAGACTTTACACGGTAGCCCGCATTAGAAAACAGGTATTATTTCTTAACACAAAAAAATGTAATTTTATATAATAAAAAATGAGTAATTAATGACAAATACCAATAACTAAAATTATTCATTTTTAAGTATAAAGTTAAGTATAAAGCTACACAATGGACTATACGTACTATTTTTACCTCAAGTATCGAAACTTGGTTTTTTTTGCGTTATATGCCATTGGACTTTCCGCTGAGCCACCAGAGGTAGCCAGCAGAAAAAGTTTTAACTGTATGCTAAGTATACGAAAGTACATAATAAACACACACCAATTATTAGTTGAGATTGGAGCATGTTTTTATAAAATAACGATTTTTTGTGTCTTTAGTTCAATTGGAAGACTTGCTGTCTCATGAGCAACTGAAACAAATAGCGTTTCAAATGAGTTCTGGTATTGAGCTAGAAACTTCGTCGACTCTAGTATAAAAGAAACAAGGTGGTCTAAGTTTTAACGTGAGCTGTACAACTCTTCAACGATAAATTATCTTTATTTTTCAAGTTTTGATAAAATTAACTAATTACTTACTTGAGTATTACCGTTTCATGTTTGGTCAGTACTTGAGGAACAAGATAAAAATAGACAGAAAAAAGATAAATTCACGCAAGAATAAATAGGAATAATAAAGCAAAATTACAATGCAAGAAAATGAACTAATAATCTGGATTTATGAATTTAATAATAATTTTAAACAACATTAGGTTTATGAAATAAATCTAAAGCTAATCAATAACTTTACGTAAATTCATAACAATATATCTTTTGTTATATTTACTACACTACAAATACTGATAAAATGCAAGTACAAAGCACGATACCAAGATTATTAAGCTATGATGTGTTATATATATTATCGTTAATTATGAAGTAAATTATGAGAGTGAAATATTGTTTATGACAAAACTTTGTAAATATAAAATTAATTTGGCCAATTTTGGAGCAACACAATTTTTATCAACCATTCAAATGCCAAATCTACAATAATTGTTTTGAAAAGATGATTTAAATGTTTAAAGATATGTTAAATGTTCTAATGACCGACATTTCTTTTACCAATGCTAGTAAAATTCATGGAATTACCACTTTCAATACGGGCTCGGTCAATTTGACGAGTCACGTGACCTTTAGTATTCGTTTAAAGTCTTTATAAATTGAATACTTATAACTCTCAATATATTGGGCCTTTCTTCACGAAATTTGGTAGTCTTTCAGTTAATATTACAAGTCTTCACATACAAAAAGTCATATTTCTTAGTGAAGTATTTTTAGTAAAATAAAATAAAGATTTGTTCAGGAATATATTGAGTATTTGTTTTTAATAGTCCCTGTGCAAAGTAATTTTCATGTTAAAATTAAAAATACTTCTCGTCATCTTAGAAATCTCAAATTTCCTTTGTGTAATCCCTAAATCTCCTAAATGCATTTCAAATCTTTTTTTTTTTCATTAAAACTTTATAGTTTATCCGTTATTTTCTCTACTCTATCTCAAAACGGAATCGCTGAATTTGACTGACCTCGTAACCCCCCCAAAAAAATAAAATAAAATATCGCAATAAACCCGAATTAACTTTTATTCTTTTCTAGAATGATTTCAAATTGTAACATAAAACTACATTCATTTATCCTAAGTAGCTCTAATTTCGTAACGTTATACATCTTTTCATAATTGCATTTTATTGTTTTATTGCCCTTGGAACGTGTCTAACTACTATCCGCGCAATTATAAGTTGTAAATCACTCGGGAACGTGCAGTTCGCGTTACGTTATCGAATTACATTACCCACGAGCTGTTCGTGCCTCGTGAACCATTTTAATTATATTATTATAACTTATTTTACCTAATCTAGTCTTAAATAACCTAAATTCGTATTTATAGATTTTAGTTACTTTTATAATAATAAATAAAGAATAACTAAGAAAAACAGAAATAAAGTACTTACCCAATCTTGATATTTTACAATTTAGTAAATATGAAAATTAATTTGGCCAATTTTGGAGTAACAAATTTTTCATCAACCATTCTAATGCCAAATCTACAATAATTGTTTTGAAAAGATGATTCAAATGTTTAAACATATGTTAAATGTTCTAATGACCGACATTTTTTACCAATGCTAGTAAAATTTATGTAATTGATGTTTTTTGTTTGACTGAAAATAATGGTTTATAGTTAAATGAGACATTCTTATCACAATGTCCAATAAAAATATCTTATCCGCCTTAATAAATTTACATGAAGGAGAGAAAATATAGACCAGCAGCATGTTTTTATGTAAAATAGAGCCAATTATATCCTATTTGGATTGATTCTAGACAGCATATTGCAAGATGTTTGAAGATGGTAAACATTAAAGTAATACATCACCTGGTTAGTTATAATTCGTAGTATCGGTGTCGGTATAGCATACTAACTATCTGCATCCAAATAACACATTAAAGTTCGATACTAGGCACACACATACATATATCGTATGCGACGCGCACTTTTCATACTGGGTTGTTTAACAATTAAACAATGAGGTTCATTGCCTAACGGGATTTATGTGACACATGAAACAACGTTAGTTCTGAAATACCTTTTTGCGTAGTAACAATGTGTTACGGGAATGTTAGTCCATTGTGGTGAAAACTGACCACTAGTGTTAAACACTATATTTCTCTGTCGTTTGGTTGTAAATGATACTTATATAGACATGTACTGAATAAATCTATCTATCTATCTCTATATGGATAGATAATAGTAAGCGAAACGATTTTGATTTTACAGCAAACGTATATTGATTATCTATACAAATTATAAGTCATGTTGAACTGTGCTGATCATATTTTTTTTCGTAAAGATAATATGGATGAAACTTATCCCAATAAATATACATATACTTTTTTTGGCTGGATGCATTTTGTTTGAATTACAGAAAGGAAATATTATTTTGTTGGTTGGTTAGACTATCGTCATTTGCATCAGCTTTAAAATTAACTGAATTTTATTAATGTGAGAAAACGAGAAGTTTATACATTGATTGTTTTGTTGTTAGATGAATATTCAACGAGACATATCTAAACACTAACACTAACTTCTTTCATGTATGTTTAGATTTAACTTACTTTCCTGAGAAATTTCGTCTTTTCTTGGGCATCCTGATAAGCTTAAAAACAGAAAATATATTGATAGTGATGATACTGCTAAACGCAAGATTTCACTGTAAAAAATGAATTACAAATAGAAAATAATGTATTATAATTAACTACTCAGTTGTTGATAGTTATTATTTAAAAAATAAATTTCAGTATAAATGAAAATCAAGCTATTGTAGTCAACACACGTATTAATAGTTAAGTTATAATTAACAATGATAACTCAGTATTACGAACTTCACATATAAATCATTTTACTATAATTAAGTAAAGTATTATTGCTTATGAAACCATGAGAAACGAGGTTTCAACATAAATAAAATATTCATAAAATCCATATTTTTCGTTAATTAAGACTGTTTGTTTTGAAATTTCTCTCAAAGCTACACAAGTGATATCTGCGTTAGCTGTCCCTAATTTGAAACTAATTACACTAGAGGTGTGGTAACTCGTCAATAGTACACACCTTCAATTCTTGAGAAACTTAATCGAATAATGTAATTTGGAGATCACTCTTATAGTTCACCCACAGCCCTAATAATGTAATTTGGAGATCACTCTTACAGTTCACCCACCGTCCTAATAATGTAGTTTGGAGATCACTCTTATAGTTCACTCACAGTCCTAATAATGTAATTTGGAGATCACTCTTATAGTTCACCCACAGCTCTAATAATGTAATTTGGAGATCACTCTTATAGTTCACCCACCGTCCTAATAATGTAATTTGGAGATCACTCTTATAGTTCACTCACAGTCTTAATAATGTAATTTGGAGATCACTTTTATAGTTCACCCACCGTCCTAATAATGTAATTTGGAGATCACTCTTGCAGTTCACCCACAGTCCTAATAATGTAATTTGGATATCACTCTTGCAGTTCACTCACAGTCCTAATAATGGAATTTGGAGATCACTCTTATAGTTCACCCACAGTCCTAATAATGTAATTTGGAGATCACTCTTATAGTTCACCCACAGTCCTTAAGTGCGTGGCGTATTTTTCGGTAACGGAACGCAAACCAGGAATCCTCAGATTCACGTCCTGCATACTAACCACTAGACCGAATAATTACAAGACATATTGAAAATGTTAATTTTGCGATTTTTGACATATATGGGTCTTATTTTAATATGCCCTAGCTGTATTTGTCTTTTAAGTTATTCTTAAAGTAAAGTTGTCTTTTAAGTAAATTTACCTCGAACAAGCAAACTATTTTAGTTTTGTAATTTTACTGGATGATATTTGAGCCAGTATTGTAGTGGTAACAGTTCCTTTCTAACTAACTTTCCCGTTGAATGTTTAATAAATTGTGACGAAGTCTTGGAGTGTTCGCACTCGCCTCATTCTTATGATATATAGGAAGTAGTGCGCAAAGAAAACACGCTGACTAAATTTTGTATGATGTTATTTTGACAGTATTAGCTTATTGCTCATGTTACACATGTAGTTAACTTTAAAAAAAAAATCTTAACTTAGACATCTACACACCAGACCATGAATGTGGCCAGTCGATCACAGAAATGGCCACACTATTAATAAAACAGAAAATTTTCGCTAAATATATTTATTTCAGCATTCTAATGACAGTCAACGCAAAAGTACAAAAAACATTTTTTCAAAATTACAAAAGCATGAAATTTCAATGAGAGATTTGGCATTCTTTTTCTCTGGCTAGCTAAAAAACACACTATCGATGATTCTACGAGTTGGCCACACATTTCTGCGAAATGGCCACACATGGCCATTGGTCAATGGGCTGCCCACACAGGCACTAGGCAATACGCCGTAAAATCTATATTAAGATGTTAGATATATATATATATAAATATAATAAATGTTAGTGTTTTATACCGTTCTTTTAATATATATATATGTTTGCGTAGAAAATGCCTCTCAATGATTCAGCGGTAAGTTTATGGTTTTAAAACGCTAAAATCCGCGGTTTGTTTCTCTATGGTGGACAGAACGCATATAGCCTATTGTGTAGCTTTATGCTAAAAGAAACATACAAACAAACCATATAAAATACTAGAAGAAAATTAGCCATCAAGCTGCCAAGCTCTGAACTACCTTCGGTGGTGTGAATAGAGCCCTGTCGAGTGACCTGTCCCGTTGCAACCAGGTGTAGGGCACTTGTTATCTGGAATATTCAGAAACACACTACCTTGTTAACTTGAAAAATGCTTTATTTATTTGTATTTTGAGATAAGATATTTCGTCAAAATTTACCCTACCAGTAACTAATCGCTCTACTAAGATCTGAGGAGGCTTTTAGTTGTCTTAAGAAGTCAGGTCAAGTAATATAATAGTATAAGTAGAAATAATCAATCTTAGTGACTTTTTTTCATATTCAATGGATAAAGACAGTATGAGAAACAATATTAAAAAGGTGTAAAACCAAACTTATGTGTTTTTTAATTAAAAGTAACGTAATTTTGAAAATGAAATAGTTAAGTAAAAAAAATATTTATGGATATATATTTTGAAAAGCTATTGGTACAACATTACTAAAGTGTAAACAACACACATTCCAAATCAACAACATTTTCCATTAGTTATAAAGGAACAAGTTAAGTTTGAGAAGTGACAGTTTGAATCGCTAGATATCTCTTATGAAATAAAATAGAACGACACTTTCAGTAAGTGGGTTTGTAATTATCTAAAGCTTTAAAACGGATCTTTATTTGGTCATATATTACATTCGCTTATAAACGAGAACATAAATTTGAATTTATATCCTATTGACAACTTGCAAGTTATCTAGTAAAGTCTAGTTTGAAGAAACAATAATTTTACGATTTAAAAGAAAAGGCTGGAAGTAGTACTGCCGTTATCGAAAAGAAGGTTACATAAGTTGTACATATCAGCACCGTGATTCATCGCTAAACAAAAATTTCTGAACTTAAACACTGGTATGTGGTATCATAACGCTTGGATATCTTTTTTATTGACGGAGGACTTTATTTACGGTGAGTCGTTTCATAGGTACACCTTACGTCACTGGAAGAAGTGATTGTGATTGAGAAATTTGACATGAAATACAGTGAATATTCAAATAAAAAACCAGCAGAAAACCTATTTCATAGCCCGTTGTAAGCCATAATATCAAGCTTAAGTATTTTAAATCTCCTAATAAATATATTCATAATTTCTATATAAAAACACTTGTATCTTTATAAGATAGAAGGGCAAACTACGATAACGTACAAATATATATATAAAGAGGAGTTTTTTATAAAATTTTCAAACGACGTTTCTCTAGGTATAAGGAATATAATTCCAACTGATAAAAGTACGAGGAATAAATATCCCACGCGATATTTCGAGCCAAATGAGATTCTATGTCCTTAGACTTCCACTATCAGATGTTCAAATATTGTTGTTCTTTTATAACAGTTTGGTATGTATAGGTATGCTATTTTCAAACCTTACTGTTCTCTTGGAAACAAATACTCATAACGTTAAAAAATCTATAAGAAATAATAAAAAAGACTTGATATTAGCCTTTGATATCATCAGATAAAGGGACTTATCTCCGTTTACGAATATTTATATTAACTTCGCGTTTCCACAAACTTAAACTGTGTTCAGGCGTGTAAAGTTAACTTGTTTTATTCTGATATACGATTCAATTTCATAAAAATCTGGATTATTGTGAACAGAATATTGATATAGAACTGTAAATCAAAATATGCTTTCAGGAAATTTTACCCAACTCCATATACAGAGATAACAACGGAGGGAAACCCAAGTACAGTGGAGAGCTAAATCGTTATCGTGACTTGAGTATTTAAATATAATAATGAAAAGGATGCCATTTTTAGTCTATATTTAGACAACAATATATGTAAGACTCCGCGAACTTATAGATTGGTTGTTACCGCATTCGACTAGCAATTTGCAACTTGCGAGATGGAGTCCCGTCAACAAATATGCTCGCCCTTTCAGGCGTTATAATGCGAAGCTCAAGTCAAATGGCCGTCCATGGTCAATGCTTTAGAAAGTGAATTTATGGACGAAGAGCTTGATGGTGTATGCTATACGGGGAATGGCGAGATGGAAGTTGACCATTCTGAATGTCACAGTCTACGAATACGGCGAATTTGGGCTGGTGGAAGAAAACCTCAAATTGATGCATGACGAATCGAAAAGAAGTCGGCGTCAGGAGAAGGTTCACCTAATAACAGTGGAGTTACGATCCCTTTCAAATTGATGGAAGGATACTAAGAAAATGGGTGACCATGCAGAAATGATTGCTGTTGCCAAACTTTGACTGCGGCACCGAGGTGGCCTGAAGAGAACAGAGAACATGAAGAAAAGGAGGAAAGTAAAATCTCGCAAGAATAGAAAGTTCTTCGAGGCTCCGTTCAAGTTTGTCCAGAACCTATTCGATCAAGTAAAATCAGATGAGTTTCTTGTGAGTAAACAAGAATTAGATAATATCTGAGAAAGAAGTACACAGATTGTATATGGCCAACACCACCTGTTATATCGCTGGATGTGTCGCCACTGAAACTTGGGGAGGTGGAGAGTGTGGCAAGGAAAGCTAGGGTAGGGTCTTCTCCTGGCCCTAGAAGAGTCACTTACAAAGTTTATAAGAAGTATCCTAAGCTCATAAGGAGATTATGGCATATATTTAAAGTTATCTGCAGGACAGAGACTGCGTTGCTTGAGTGGAATAAAAGAAAAAGAGGCTATATTCCGAAAGTTGAGAATGAGCAATGGATGAGCGATTTCCGATTCCCGTTCCATATTATACTTGATGTGAACAAGAAGATTTTGATTGGTGTATTTTTGTTGTTAGATGAATATATCGATACATTGGTGCAGAAGGCAGTGATACCAGATATCTCTGGATGCATGAAGCATGCTTTGATTATATGGTTCGACATTTACGAGGCAAAGGTAAGGAAGCAAGACCCGCCAATTGTGTGGTTTTAATCTTACTAATACTTACGGAGTAATGCCACATGCCTTGTTAAACATGGCCATGTTTTTTTTTATATTCCAGAAAAAGTTGTAAGATATCTCATTGCATAATGTGACAGTCCAGATGAATTCATGACTAGAAATACACGACAGCGTGTCAGCAGCTAAAAGTTCGCATCAAAATGGGGTGTACAATTTTGCCAATTCTCTTTGTCATGGCTATGAAAATAATTGTTGGAGCAGCAAGACTGAAAGGGACGGGACTTAGCATAGCTCTGGGCCAATTGTTTCCCCTATCTGCACGTTCACTGGTGATTAGACTTTATTGAACTCTTCGGTAGCAGACGCACAGAGAGTTCTCGATAAGCTTTAACACTTGATGTGTTAGTTCAAGCTGAAGAAATTCAGAAGTCCTACTTTAAAGAAAGAAAAGTTGATGAAAGAACATCATTTTCAGCTCAGCGAAGAGCGAATACCCATGGTGGTAGAAGAGCTGATAAAAAGTTTAGGAAGGCTGTACATTTCAGTTCTGACTGACAGTAAGTGAACTATCGAAGTGAGAAGTCAAGTGGAAGATGGTTTAAAGCATATTAGCAAATCTTCCCTCCCAGGCACTTTGAAGCTTCAGTGTTTGAAGACTGGTTTATATCCCAGAATCATGTGGTCGATGATGAGGTATGACATGCCCATGATAAAGATAGTGGGAATGAAAAAGCGACTTTCTAAAATAAAAGCACCTGAAAATAAAAGTTATTATTGAAGCAGCTCAGACAGAGCGATTTGAACGTGGCATGAAACCAATGAAATGGTTTGGAAGTGCCACTGATGTTCAGAAGATAAATATGATTGGTGACAAGATACGTCAAGTAAAAGACAAAAGATGAGTGTCTAAAGCAACTGGTATGCCCTATCAGGGTAACTAGATAGCGTGGGAAGAGGTAGAGCCTAAACGGTTACCTTGGTCTAATATTTGGTCGATGTAGCCGTTGGTATTCAAGTTTCTTGTTGGTGCTACGTATGATGCTGTACTGGCATCCGAATACTTCTTACATAAATGGGTAAATTAAAAAACAACAACCGGGAAGTGCTGCAAGTGCGGAAAAAAGGCTCGTTAATATACATCCTAGCTGGTTGTGAAGTTTCATTTACTGAAGGTTTTTACATCTGGAGACACAATCTGGTTTTAGAGAGAATCAAGGAAGTGCTAGAAGAGGGTGAAGCACGGCAGGTTCAACAGTTGAATTCGTGAGGAAAGAAGAAAAGAGCAAAAACCGCTGAAAGAGAGAGTTGGAAGCAGTATCTTACTAACAACCAACGACTGGAAGTTATCAGTGGACTTAGACACGCAGATAGTCTTACCGCAGGTGATCACAGCTACTGACCTTAGACCCGATATTGTGTTATGGTCAGAGAAGAAGAGAACTGTCATGTTGGGTGAGTTGACGGTTTCATGGGAAGAGAATATCGGTAAAGTACACGAGCACGAGATCATCAAGTACTCTGAGATCATTGGAATTTGCAGAGATAGAGGGTGGATGATCCACTGTCTTGCACGTGCAGAGGATATGCAGGCAAGTATTTCGCCGCTTTTCTGGGCAAGGTGGGTTTATCTGGAATAGCCAAGAGCAAAATGACGAAAGAAATATGTATGAAGGCAGAAAAGGCGTCACTCTGGAGTTTTCAGAAGTATGGAGTGAGTACACATGTGTGTGTCCACCGAGACAGTGAAAACATGCCTGATTAATGCATGATGATCAACGATCAATAAGGAATATAATCAGCTGCAAGTTGTGTTGACGTGGTTCCCATTGCATGACCCGCCCTGGATAATCTTCTTGACGATAAAGGGCCGAGACGACCGGTGAGGTTTCCTCGACTGATTATCTGCGCGACGACTGCGTTTTGGTTTATCTTTATATAAACTATATGAATCCTGGTCTCAAGCTTTCGATTCGTCCTTGTCTTGGGTTACTAATGTGGGGTGTAATTTCTCGAAACTGGTGTAATTCGGTGACAGGTGGTAAATACAATTGTAGATTGAGATTGTGACGGAATTACTGTTATATATTTATTGTAATATTGATGTTTGTTTAAATTAAAGTTATATTTAGAAATGTACATAACTTATTCTGTTAAATGTATATTGCGAAATTCTCGCTTATTCTCTAAAGTTGTAGAAAATTCTCGAGTGTAAGAATCAACAATACATGT